CCTGAGGAAATGGTGGATGCGGGAACAGTTACAATGTTTAAATGACATTTGGATAGATCTTTGAATAGGAAAAATTTGGAGGGATATGGACCAGGAGCAGGCAGGTGGGACTAGTTTAGTTTGGGATTACAAGTGGCATGGAATGGTTGGACCAATGGGTCAGTTTCCATGTGTATGACTCTGTAGGAAGGAAGGGTAAGAGCGGAAGAGAGGGGGAGAGGGTGGGGGGGGAGGTGAGGAGGAGTAGGGGGGGAGAGGGCAGAGGAGGCGAGCGGACAGGATGGGGCTGGGAGTGGGTGGGGGAGAGGAGGGAAAGGAAGGAGAGGGCAAAGAATGAGAGGAGGAAAGGGGACGAGGGGAAGAAGGGAGAGGGTGAAGGAAGAGATAGGAGTGGGAGAGAGGTGGAGGGAGAGAGAGAGGTGCGGCGAAAGGGACTGGAGAGAGAGAGGGGGAGAAAGATGGGGCCTGCTTACATTGACTGGAAGTCATGTGAACCAGCTAAATGCCTAGGCTCATGCTTTAATAACCTATTATGACCAATTGTGATGATGATAGGAGTAAAATAAGCCTTGCTACCACAGAACATCATTACAGGAAAGATCTAAAACGATAAAATGATTGCAAAATTCTGCATTCGTTTCTGCATTTTGCAATACCATCCAAACTGAGACCTTTAAATCCTCAGTTGGGGAATGAACTCTGAGAGTTGGGTAGAGAGGTTTCACTTCCTTATTTGAGAGGTCTTGTTTTGATTGCTACATGCAATAAAGTTGAAAATGGTTGTTTCAGTGTCTGTGAGATTTCTTAATAAGTAGCTGAGTTAAAGCAGTTTCTGCTAACTTAGGCCACAACACCAAGAAAGTGGAGTTGAGGGTGATAAGATCAGCCACGATCTCATTGAGGGGCGGTGCTGAAAGGCCTACTCCTGCATCTTAGGGTCATTAATCAGGAAAGATCCAACTGAGAAACTCGGAGAGGTTCTGCAAGTGAGACTTTGACAGGAGGACTCAGACGCAGGCTTGGTTTCCATATTTTAAGGGGCGAAGGCTCGGGAGTGGATTCAGAGATGATGACTGGCAATGGGCTCAGGAATGGAGAACCTCAATTCCACAGTGAGACTGGTGAAGTGAGATTAATCCGGTAACCAGCACCTTGGGTGATGGCATGAAATCCAGGCGAGTTGGCAAGCTGATGGCAAATTGATATCCCAAGAGTTCATGAATTGCTGGACTCTGCTGTGAAACTTAATACAATTAATGGTTGGGCCTTGGCTGGTGTTGTAGAACAGAGGATCCTAGTGGTTCAGGTACATAATTCTTTGAAGTTCGCGTCACATATAGACAGGGTGGTTAAAAAGGCATTAGCGTACTTGTTTTCATTGCTCAGTCCTTTGAGTATCAGAGTTGGGACATCATATTGAGATTGTACAGGATATTGGTGAGGCCTCTTCTGGAATACTGTGTCCAGTTCTGGTCACCCAGTTATAGGAAGGATATTATTAAGCTGGAGAGGGTTCAGAAGAGGTTTACTAAGATGTTGCCAGGTATGGAAGGTTTGAGTTATAAAGAAAGGCTGGATAGGCTGGGACTTTTTTCGTTGGAGCGTGGAAGATTGAGAGGTGATCTTACAGAGGTTCATAAAATCCTGGGGGGTATAGATAGGATTAAATGTCTTTTCCCTAAAGTGGGGGATTTCAAGACTATGGGGCACATTTTTAATGTGAGGGTAGAGAGACTTTAAAAATACATGAGGTGTAAATTTTTTACACAGAGAATGGTTTGCCTGTGGAATGAACATCCTCACGAAGAGGTGGTTCCGGGCACAGTTAAAACATTTAAAAGACATTGGATAAGTCCATGAATAGGGAGGGTTTGGAAGGATGTGGGCTGGGAGTGGACAGGTAGGACTAGTTTAGTTTAAGATTACGTGCACCATGGACTGGTCGGACTGAGGGGTCTGTTTCTGTGCTGTATGACTCTATGACTCTATTACAATTACATCCGAATTCCTGGAAATGTGCGGCAAGGTCAGGGCAGATTGCAGACTGGGCTAGAGAGCTGTTGGAAAGAAAGTGCGGTGTGTTTAAAAAGACGTGAGTCCTCCAACATGGCCTCGGACCCATATCCCTGAGATTAAAGGTCTCACATAGTCACCAGCTGAGCCAGCCAGAGATGATGCTGAGAACTACCTTACCAGTTGTTGTAGTGAGGTAGTTGCCTGTGAATTCCCCAGCGATCATTTCCAGTTTTAAAGGCAAAAAAATCTCACTGATGTTGGAAATCTCCAGTTGAAGCCGAGAGTGCTGATAGTGCTCTAATAGAATCAACTCATTGCACCCAACCTTTGTCCAAATGAGATAACAAGGTGTGGAGCTGGAGAAACAAAGGCCTACTCCCGCATCATATGATTGTTAACCAGGAAGGAACTGACTGAGAAACTCGGGTTAATCCTGCAAATGAGACCTTGGCTGGAGGCCTCAGTCCCGGGGTTGGGCTCCACATTTTAAGGAAAGGGACGTAGCACCACGGAGAGGATTCAGGGACGATGAACGGCCATGGGCTCAGGAATGAGGTGCCTCAATTCCGTGTCAAGACTGGAAAGTGAGGTTCACCTGGCAACCAGCACCTTGAGAGATTGCATGAAATCCCGGGGAGTTGTAAGCTGACGGCAAATCAATGTCCCAAGAGCTTCTCAATTGCTGGATTCCCTGCTGTGAAATGACAACATCCACTCAGTCAACAATTCTATCCCAATTATTTTGGTGGCCTGATAGGCACAAGGTGATGTGGTGACAATATCACTGCACTAGCTAATCCAGTAGGACTAAGCTGACAATGTGAGGGGTCATTGGGCCAAACCCCACCATCGCACTCGATGGGATTTCCAAATGACAAATACATCTGGAGTTGAAAGCTGGGATTGGTAATAGTGACCATGACAACAGTCATTGCTTACCATAACAACCCACCTGGCTCACTCCTAGGGAAAGGAAATCTGCCATTTTTACCAGGCCTGGCCTGTGTGTAACTTCTGGCTCAAAGCCAATGTATCCTTAAGGCGCAGGAGCAGATGTCGGCCATTCAGCTCATTGAGACTGTGCCACCATCCAATGAGATGGCAGTTGAACTGACAAACCTCAATTCCACTGCTGCACAATGATCTATTGCATTTGCTGTACCCAATGCAGCCAACTCTACATTGGAGAAACCAAATGCGGACTGGGTGACCGTTTTGCAGAACACCTCCCGTCTGTGCGCAAGCGTGACCCTGACTTTCTCATAGCTGTTCACTTTAACACAGCGCCCGGCTCGTTTGCCCACCTGTCTGTCCTCGGCCTGCTGCAATGCTCCAGCAAATCACAGCGCAAACTGGAGGAACAACATCTCATTTTCAACACAGTGTGGAGCTGGAGAAACACAGCATCAGGGGAGTAGGAAAGTCGACGTTTCTTCAGAACTGAAGATCTCTGAACATCTCATTTTCAGGCCAGGCACTTTACAACTTTCTGGATTTAATCAGCACCTTCAGATCATGAACCCCCTCCCATTCCTTCCCTTTTAGCCTTACTTAGAGTCTTAGGCTCATTGATTTATACAGCATGGAAACAGACCCTTCAATCCAACTCGTCCACGCTTGTAACTTCAGAGAGTCCACACTGTATACGGGCACTAGTAATAGTATTATTCACACTATTATTTGCTGCTGCCTTATCGCTGTTGCAGTCAATTTGTTTCCTCTATTTTCCCCAGTGATTTTTTTTTTAAATGTGCAAGTGCCGCTGCTGTGGCTAGATTTCACAACCATCTCTCAGCACCGTCACACTAGCAAAACTCAGACACACAGACACAGAGAAAGACAGATACAGAGAGAGAAACTCTGTCGGTGTCTGAGCCAGTACAGTCATGCACACAGAAACAGGCAATATCCCACCGGTGCCATTGAACTTGGTCACAACGAATTACAGGGATCTCCCCAGGCAGGAAGAGACATATCATAAGGTAATGACAGGGCAGTTTCCATAGTGTAGTGGTTATCACGTTCGCCTCACACGCGAAAGGTCCCCAGTTCGATCCTGGGTGGGAACATTATTGCCTCGATTTCTGTCTTTGTTCTCACTCAAGGAATTGGCCCAAACTCACGCACCTCGCTGTATTTCTGACTTAACTGCGCGTTCAATACAAGGACCAGAGAGGGGGAATAAAAGTAATCGTTTGAGAATACTTTTGCCCCGGGGCTGATAAAGCAATAAATGTGATCAGGAGAGAAAAAAAAATTGATAGATATATATGCAGACAAATACCGGCTGAACTAAAGCTTTCTGTGAGTTTTATGCAGGGTAAGGTTAGGAATGAGTCAGGAACAAAAACAAAATTGCTGGAAAAGCTCAGCAAGTCTGGCAGAAACTGTGGAGGAAAAAACAGTTAAAACATTTCGGGTCCGGTGACCTCAGCTTTTCATGAGTCAGGATGGCCGAGCGGTCTAAGGCGCTGCGTTCAGGTCGCAGTCTCTTCTAGAGGCGTGGGTTCGAATCCCACTCCTGACACGGATGCTTTCGTTTTTAACTTATTCTCACCCTTTCTCCTACCAACAGGATTAGGGAGGTGCGGGGTGCACAACCTGCTGCGGTAGGGTCAGAGGAGGCACCTGGCCTGCTGTGTTCCTCCAGCTCCACACTGTGTTATCTCTGCCTCAAGCACCGGCAGTTCTCACTATCCCCGCAGTGGAGTCAGACTCGCCACCGCTGCTTCGGGAGAGTTGGCGGACGCACTAATTCATGTTTGTGTGCTTGAGTGAACGTGAATGTGTGGCGACCCAGTGTCGATGATCAAGGCAGTACTCGGTAATGGAGCTCTCAGCAAAAACGAGCGGCTGCAGAGAGACTCCATCAGACTGTAGGAATTGAGCCTCTTGATTCATTACGACCACTGAAATAACAGCAAAGGGAGAGGGATTGAGCAGTTGTTAGTAAAACGTGTGTGTGGATGTTTTGGAAAATACATCGCCCAACGTGGGGGTCGAACTCACGACCCTGAAATTAAGAGTCTCATGCTGTACCGACTGAGCTAGCCGGGCTTGATATTATTGCTTGCTACTGCCTTATCACTTGCTGTAGTCAAGTTATTTCGTCTGTGTTCTCCAGTGGTGTTTTGTTTTTCTTTTGAATATAAAAATGCTACTGCTGTTGCTGGAAATCCAAACCAACATTACTTACATCTTGGATAGTAGGAACTGCAGATGCTGGAGAATCCGAGACAACAAGGTGCAGGGCTGGATGAACACAGCAGGCCAAGCAGCATCATAGGAGCAGAGAGGCTGACATTTCGGGCCTAGACCCTTCATCAGAAAAGGGGGAGGGGAAGGGGGTTCTGAAATGAATAGGGAGAGAGTGGGAGGCGGATAG